TCATTAACTCCATCTAAAATAATTTTTTTAATTATAACAAGCAGAAAAATCCATGTGACAGATAAAAGCATCCTAAAACTACAAGAATATTCCACTAACAAAGCCAACTTGGAGAAAATATCAAGATCAGATAACCTATATAGATGAAATTGCAGCAGGAGTTGTTGAAGCCACGTATGAAAAATATCTGAATTGATCTAAAAACATATAGTATTTATTGTCTTGTTGTACTTTATGCACAATCTTATCCAGAATATTACTATTTGACATCTCTGCAATATTATTTGATCTTACAAAACCAAACAGATAATCAAAAAATATAAAAGTTGGTTCTCGTCACATGTAATGAAATTTAATAAATATATTTCTTTTTTATAAACAATGATAATTTGACTGAAATATATTATAAATATTAAATTCCTGAATATAAACAGTTTCAAGCCTTTAATTAAACACAAGTTGACCTAAGCAAGGTAAGTCCCATTTCTGAATATTTAAAGAAGACTAAACTTATCCTGATTTGTGCCCATTGGTTACATAGCATAGCAAGTGGTAATGAGCCATTATTCAATTCAATTAAAAATTGCTATGATACAACTCATTTTCACATTTTGGTAACATTTTTCTTCCTAATGAAATTATATTAGTCGTGTTTCCTTAGAGAAACGCAACTTAGAATCTAAAAAAATTGTCAACTTGCCATTCAAACGACAAGACCAAAGTAATGCATAAATTTATTATTCAAGGTCGGGTAGGGCGGTTACTAGATTTACTTTCATTATTAATTCATCTTGTGAAATTCAAGGATCAACCGGAATAAATAAGAAATGATGATATCTAAGTTAAACAATGTTTAAAAATAATTTAAGTGTGCGTATAAAATAAAGGAATAGATTGATATATTTTTATTTATGTAAGTTATGTATGGTATATATTCTCTCTCTTCCTTTTTAGGATTATTTTTTTAAAAATTGTTTTTTTTTATTTCATTTTAAATTTGAAATAGTATTCATCGTTGTATGTTAAAACTATTCATAATTATCTATACAATATATCAAGGGAATACTTTATTTTGATGTGGTCTATTTTTCTATCATTTTTCTCTTAATTTATTATGTAATTTTTTACTAACTTTATATTATTAACTTCTACATAACTTCTTATTATTAACTTTCACATATTATATTTTTTTAAAATTTTATTTAAACAAAAAGTATCATTTATATTTTCATTCATGCGTATTAAAAAAACGGACAGACGGGCACGCCCGTCTGGTCATAACATGTGTGACAGGCGTCACCTTGGTGACGAGTAACCCATCACACTGCCATTGTTTAGAAGTGTATGATGTTGTTTATGGTGTTGTTATTGGATTTAATCCACTTGTTCCGTATGGAGAATGATGTTGTTGTTTATTTTTGTGATTATATGGTGATCATTGGTGATATTGCACGTTATGGTGAACCATGCATAATGGTGTACGGACTTCGGTTCAGTTTTGGTGTGCTCTGATTCTATGGTGGAGATTAAGAAGCAAGTAGTTGGTTCCATATAGGAATTGGTGAATCGTTTTCTGTGTTGATGATAATGGTTTGGTGTGCTCTGGTTCTATAGTGGAGATTCATGAGAGAGATGAACCTCTGTTGTTCATAATGGTACCGCATGCATTATTTAATCGTGATGTTAAGTACATTTGCATATTTATTGAATGATTTTGTTGTTATCGGTGAATGAGAATGCTTTGGTGAAGTATGTGATTGTTTTGTGTTGAATAATTGTTGATATTTGTTTAGGTTACCCTTGCACACTTTTGCACCATTATATATTATGAATGTATTCTCATCCCTTGTTGTTGGTGGTTTTGTGATCCTTTCTAGGGTACAGACAAGCAGGTAAATGAATAGTTGCTTAGAAGACGAAGGATGACGTTGAGATTATTCTTCTCTCTTTTTTATTTTATGTGTTGTTTTAGATTTTGTTGCTCTGATTTATAATATTGGGAGGGCAAATATTTGTTTTTTATTATTGTTATCATTTGAAATATTGTTGAAGGAAATTTCCATAACCATGTTAGAATACTTATTTGTTTGTTGAATTATTTAAATTGATCAATTTGTTGCGATGAACCTATGTAAAGACGAACATGTGATGTTAGATTTTAATCTAATGCATGTTTTACATATAATAATAATAATAATAATAATAATAATAATAATAATAATAATAATAATAATAATAATAATAATAATAATAATAAAAAAGAAAGATCTATATAGTAAAAAATATAATAAATCTTCAATAATGTTAGTTTATATTCTACTCAAAAAATATGAAAATAAAATCAGTATCATCTGCGTACAAATGCATGTTGGATTATTCTACTGTGTTGTATTTGTTTCAAACCCTCGGTCATTTCTCTTTAATTTTAAATAAAAATGAGAAACACAATAAAACATACACAAAAGGAAAAATAAATACAGTGAAAGAGATGGAAAACATTACTGTCATTTGGAAAGGATCTATCTAAAATGTAAGCTACATGGATTTAGAATGGATATAATGGTGAATAGAGGTTGGTGTATATATTAATTAGAAATGGTTAAAATTGACAATTTAGAAGGCCCTTGAGAGATTATAAGGATAGATTGAAAATTTTCCTTAATTTTATTTTTGGAAATGGTCCTTCAATTATACTCTAATTATAGTGTGTTTGGATTAGTTCATCTTAACTTATCTATTTACCTAAGTTTTGTGAGAACTTAAAAATGCAAATTATAACATTTTTTATAAACTAGTTTTCATAACTAATTTATTTTTAAAAATATTTTATAAAAACATCTTATTGACATATATAAAATAAATTTAATATTATTTTATATAAGTTATAAAATAAATTATTTATTCAAGTAGACTTTTGGTTATTTGGCATGAAAACATTGTTGCATTCTTATGGTTAGAATTGAGCCAAAAATTTCGAATTAAACTTTAAAAAAGTCCTATTATCTCAATCAAATGGTTTTTTTTTTAATAATTGTAATAGTAGAAAATTTTAATTTATATGTATTGTCAGTATAAAGATTTTTGGATTTCAACCACTGATTTATTTGAATGTTTTTTTTTTAATCTCATAGTAAAAACAAAGATTTCATATAAACCTAACAAGTAAAAATCTATAAGCATCGGTAATTCTAAAATGTTGAAGTGCATGTATCACATACAAATCCGTATAGGATACACATATTATGTAGTTATGATTTTTTTTTTATTATTTAACTTTGAATAAAATTTATGATTTTCTCAAATATTAATATATCGTATTTTTAGTGTAAATTAATTTTACATCTTCATCTAATAGAATTATACTTTTTCTGTTCCATAATAATTGATCTGTCTAAAATAAAAGAGTATCTTAAAATGAAAGACTTATTTTAATTTTCACTGCATTTTTTTAATTTTATCTCCTAATTTATAGTATTAATTTCATCATTTTTAATATATGATAAGAATATTTTAATAAAAATATCATTCTCTCTTTCAATTTTTATTTAATCTGTATGAAATAGTCAACTTATTGTGGGACGTAGAGAATAACATTCTAACATATCATATAAGTATTTTAAAATTAAACGTATGACTTGGTAGGATACACATTCGTGATTGATTGACCGTCGGAATGTATATTTTTTTTCTATATTATATTTATATATTTAAATTTGTTCTTTATTATATCTTAACAATACTTTTAATTTTTTTAAAAAATTTATAATAATATTTTGTTGCAAACTTTATAATTTATACATTTTAGAAAAAAAAAATACTTTGATTTTTTTTTTTAAATACCATATTTTGTTATTTATACTCCCACCATGTACTCTAGCAATGAAAATGAATAGACGGAATATATTAAAATGTTTCAAAGTCCAAACATGTGCTGAGCTATAAACAAATCACAGTCAGAGTTACTCTTCCTCAACGCGTTATTATTTCCTTTAAGTCGGCATAAAATGCGTTACAACTTTTATCTGTACTTAGAAAATTCAGAATTCTCATCTTCACATATAGTGCTTACTCCATTGGACCTACATTCACAACCTTCTTCTCTTTTTCCTCAATATAATCTTACCTCATTGCATGGCTTGTCATTTTCTATACTTGTACGTGATTCCAATAATAGTCAGACAAGAAATATATATAAATTGGACAATTAACTAGCATCGACATTTATAATTTATTTTTTTATTATCAGTGTTGTCGTGTCGGTGTCGAGATTGTATTCGTGTCATTGAATGATGAAATCTTAGTTTAATGAGCCAAAAACACTTTTATAATTTCTCTGGAGTCAACTTTTGCTTAATATTATAATCATTTTAACTCATAATAACTCTTTGTTCCTAACTTGTCAAATACATCTTTGTAGGGTCATGCCACATATTTTCCACTCTTTTTCCATGAAAATATTTTCTTTGTTATATTAGTTTATGTCATAACCTAATTCATTGATTAATTGAATATGATAATTTTCTGCTACTTGTCTTTGATAATTAATGTTTTCAGAAACTGTTATACAAGTGTTTAATGACAGTGACATTTGTATAGTTGGATCAAGTTACTATTAATAATGTTTATAATATTTAGTATTATCATAATGATAATAAATAAATAAATAAATAAATAAAAACTACAGTGACATTGTGCATGGACCAGTGACTTTGTTTTTCTTCTACAAGTTGCGGTTGTGAGTGTCTTGTTGATATTATGTTCACATATTTTTCTGTCTTTTTCTATTTGGTCTTAAAAAGGATGTTCCATCTCATCATCGTTCAAATAATCTCATTTTTTGGACTTTTATAATCATTTTTTTTGTATATTTTAATATTTATTGTTAAGTAAATGTCAGTGATTGATTTCATATTTAAGAGCTTGTGTTCTTTCAGACTCTTGCATACACAACTGTTTTTTTAAGGTTCTGTTTGGTTGTGTAGACTCTTTGACTTTATACAATGAAGGGAAGGAGAGGAAAAAGATCAGAGGTAAGCTTTGATAAAAAATTGTTGAGTAAGTTGTTAATAAGTTGCTGAGTTTTGTTCAATTTCATTTTGTTGTAGGCTTTTTGGCCTTCTATTGTGATGAAAAAATGGCTTAATATTAAGCCGAAGGTGAATGATTTTAGTGAAGATGAAGTTGATACTGAAACTGAAAGTGAAGATGATGGTAAGAAACTGAGAGTGAAGAATGATTTTATTCCTGTGATTCTTTTTTATCACTTTTTGATTCATGTCAATTTCTTATACAGTTTGTTCTCCTAGACAATCAAGAATGGAAGTTCGATGCGGCGAAGATAATCCATTTAGAACACAAGGGGTTCAATCTATATTCTCAAGTCAAATACCAGGTATTGATTCATTCCATTTCAGAGTTATCAATTAAGTTTGTTGCGGTGAATTTCGGTTTTGGACTTGATTTCGTATTTGTGATTATTCAGATGCATCTTTTAAGAAAGGATGCAAAACAAAACACAGAAGAGGAAAATCGGAAACTTTGCGTGCTCAGTACATAAACACTAAGGAAGTGAGGGTAGCAATTGGATCTTGGAATGTTGCTGGAAGACATCCGTCCGAGGATCTTGATATCGACGACTGGATTTGTGCCGAAGAACCGAGTGATATTTACATTTTCGGGTGAGTAGTTTGTCAAACTGTTAATGCTTTTGTTGCGTTTGCGATGTTTGTAAGACTTATATTCTTTATGGCTATTCACAGTTTTCAGGAAGTGGTTCCGCTGAATGCTGGAAATGTACTTGGAGCGGAGGATAATACGCCGATCCAAAAATGGGAAGCGATCATTAGAAGATCTCTGAACAAATCTTCGGAGCCTGACAGTAAACATAAAAGCCATAGCGCGCCTCCTTCTCCAGTTTTGAGAACTTCTTCTGCTGCTGATGTTTTAGCCGAAAATATGGATACTGATAATCCAATTGACATCATGAATGATGAGTATATGGAAAATGTTGTTGAGAAATATGATCTGCAACAACAGTTGGAAGCGAATAACGTAATTAGTATCGGAAATGATATACATGTGAGGAAAGTTTATGGTATTGATCTTGATTGGCCTGAACGTCCGTTAGACGCGATCTCACAAATTGTTGATTCGAATCCGAAGTTGCGGAGAGTGCTAAGTAGTTCAGCTAGAATTGGCTTTGACTTGAATGAGAATGCTTTCATATACAGCGGCGGAGTTGGTGGATTGAAACGCTCACACCATAGTTCAGGAAATTTAGGCTTGTTATTGAAAGAGCAGCAGGTTATACCGAAAGTGGTTGATTCCTTAGATGATGTGTCTGAGATGTTGTCTAATGAGGATGATGATGCTTTTATTGAATTACCTGAGAACCAAGATGATGATGAATTAGGCGCGACGAAATCGCATGCGAGGTATGTTCGGATTATCAGCAAGCAAATGGTGGGAATATATGTATCTGTTTGGGTGCAGAGGAGGTTGAGAAGACATATAAATAATTTGAAAGTTTCTCCTGTTGGAGTTGGTCTTATGGGCTACATGGGAAACAAGGTAACACATGTTCATATTGCGAATCATCGCGCCGAATAAAGGTCGGTCGTTGGACTCTAATGTATGAGTTCAATGACCGACCTTTATCAGCGAGGTCCAAACTCATGAACAATTTTCTTATTTTGGCCTATGATTGGTTTTGACAGACATGTTTCTCGTTGATGCAGGGTTCTGTTTCAATCAGCATGTCACTCTTTCAGTCGCGTATGTGTTTTGTTTGTTCTCATCTGACTTCTGGTACAAAAGATGGAGCCGAACAAAGACGAAACTCTGACGTTAACGAAATTCTACGACGCACATGCTTCTCGTCCGTCTTTGATACAGATCAAGCACTAACAATACCATCACACGAGTAAGCTTTATTATAAGTCGATGTTTTTCCATTGCACAAAGCTTATATTAATTCGCGTTTCGTTTATTGCTAACAGTCAGATTTTCTGGTTCGGAGACTTGAATTACCGGATCAGCATGATAGACTCCGAAGTTCGAAAATTGGTGGCTCTAAAAAAGTGGAATGAACTAATGTATTATGATCAGGTAAGATTTCAGTTAGAAAACATTATCTTGGCTACTGACTCTCTACCAAAACCTTTTATTTTACTTGACTGGATAAGCTAAGATATCTCAACTATTTCTGAGCAGTGACAAACAAGTTTCCATATTTATATGTTTATGTTCTGTTCTTTTTGCTATCCTAGATTAAACAATTTGTAACTAACTATTACTTTACCTATTGATTCGTATGTAGCTAAGCAACGAACTGCGTGTTGGACGCGTATTCGAAGGATGGAAAGAAGGGTCGATAAACTTTGCACCTACTTACAAATACGAAATCAACTCTGATAGATATGTTGGTGAGATTCCAAAAGAAGGCGAGAAAAAACGAGCTCCTGCATGGTAGTTTCGATATTTATAACTTTAGTAACAAATATGTTTCTTTACTTACAAATACAAATATTGATGTTGTTAGTTTTTACGTATGCAGGTGTGATCGTATATTATGGTTAGGAAAAGGAATAAAGCAACTACAATACGAACGTGCGGAAATTAAGCTCTCGGATCATAGACCAGTCAGTTCAATTTTCTCGGTTGAAGTCGAAGTATTCGATCATCGCAAACTAAGAAGAGCGCTAAATTTTACTAGTACTGCTGCAGTTCATCCTGAGATTTTCCCTGATGAAGAAGATGGCCAATTTTACTAGAACTAAAAACTTGTATAGGAGGAAGCAAGTGTATATAGTTATACAATATAGTATATAGGAAGATTTTTGACATTTTTTGTTTCTTTTTTCACAGTAAAAACCATTATTCATTTTTGGCCTCATCATTAGTATTGTGTCTTGGTTGTTTTCTTGTAATTGTAACAATAGACAAGTTCTATGTAACCTAATATATTGATTTTTATGGAATGAAGTTTTAAATTATTCATGTCTTTTTTCTGGTTTGTAGCAGATTGATTACTTATCTGCAAAATGGAATTAAAAAAACAATAGGTCAAGTTGGTTGCACCAATTCTAGGTGGAACAAAAAGCACCTGACAAAATTCTCAATTACAAGGTTGGTTTGAAAATGTAGAAACAAACACCAACAAACAATGCAACATAACATCTTTATTAGACTTTTCAACTCTATAAGAACATTCACCTTAAGATTTCTGCAACATCTCATTTCCATTTCTTCACCATTTTCTTTCAATGGAGCTTTTGAAACTGTTGTTACTGATCCTAATTGCTATTTTGTCCAACATTCACACTATGAAGAGTAGTGAACTTCTTGTTCATGAGTATTACAAAGAAAAGTGTCCTTTAGCTGAAGAGATAGTGAGACATAACATGGAAGTAGCAATTTTCAAAGATCCACGTTTAGCAGCGTCACTACTTCGATTACACTTCCACGATTGTTTTGTTATGGTAATTAATTAACCATATATAAGCATTTCAATGTTCGATTATATTCGTTTGATTGTTCTTTATTCGTTTTAATTTATTTATTTTTGGTCGTATATTGTTGGTTGTTGAAATGAAAATAAGGGGTGTGATGCATCAGTACTTTTGGATAGTGTTGAGGGAATGACGAGTGAGAAACAAGCTGGACCGAATTTGAATTCTTTACGAGGATTTGAAGTCATCGACAAGATAAAGTATTTACTCGAAGAGGAATGTCCTCTCACTGTTTCATGTGCTGACATTCTTGCTATGGCTGCTCGTGATGCTGTTGAATTGGTACACATTTTCTCTCTAGTCATTCTATTTGTGTCCTATATACTGTCTGATCTTGATCCAATGATCACTGACGTGTTGACTGCGGGAATTTGTGATTCAAATCATTCATAACTTTTTTTTCTTACCAATAATTACTGTTGTTTGTTTTGAAGAGAGGAGGACTAAGATGGGAAGTGTGGCTGGGGAGGAAGGATTCTCTTGAGTCAAGTTTCAGTGGAGCAGGCCTATTCATCCCTGCTCCAAATTCTTCTTTACAGACTTTAATCAACAATTTTAAGCAACAGGGTCTTGATATTGAAGACTTGGTGGTTCTATCAGGTAAATCCGCGATTTGGAAAATAAGTTTTTAAACTCACCGATTTAAATCTCGATTTGATAACACAAGTTCCTACTAATTACGATTCAAAAAACCAGGTAGTCATACTATAGGAAGGGCGAGATGTGTAAGTTTCAGGCAAAGGATCTACGAAACAAAACAAGAATATCACTACAGCTACGGCTACGACTATGATCGCTACAAAAGATACACAACTTTCAGAAGAATCCTAGGGTCAATATGTCCTGTTAAAGGAAGGGATAACAAATTTGCACCCCTTGATTTTCAAACCCCGAAGAGGTTTGATAACCACTACTTCATAAACATTCTTGAAGGAAAGGGATTGTTAGGTTCTGATAATGTTTTGATCAGCCAAGACATGGATGGAAAGATCAGAGAGCAGGTGTGGGGCTATGCATCCAATGAAAAGCTTTTCTTTGCTTCATTTGCTAAGTCTATGATTAAGATGGGAAACATCAATGTCCTTACAGGAAATGCAGGAGAAATAAGAAGGAATTGTAGGTTTGTCAACACTTAGGTATCATGTATTTTGGATAACTTATAATACAAACTTGCATGAAGAATAACAATATGTATTTCCAAATACAAAGCACTATATAATGTGATTGTTACACATTTACACTTAACTAATCAATGATTATATACTTCAACTACAATACATACATTTCTCTATAACAATGTAAAGTGGTAGTAGTGATGATCATCGAGTCATTGCTAAGAAGAAGCAGCAGCGGCGGTAGCAGCAGCTTTTATGGCTTTTTCCAATTCAGATTCCAAATCACCCACTACTACAACATTCTGAGACTTGCTTGGTTGTTTTTTCTCATTCTTCTTTCTGTCATTGTTATTGTTATTGCTTCCCCGAGTTTGAAAGCTCTCGCCTGAAAGATGTTTCTTCGGATTCGCAAGCTTCCCTTCACCACTAGAAACTCTCATTTTCATTTCATCCAACATACTCTTCATCTCTTTATTCTCCTTCTCAACCTTCTCCAAATCACCTTTTGCCCATAAACTCACATCCTTCCCCATCTGCAAATCATCTTCGCGATTCTCACAGTTCAACTCATTCAACTTCACTTCATCAACCCTCTCCAGCCCAATTTTATTCACTGTCAAATACGGTATTTTCAAACCAGATTTATTCCCCGGAAAATTCACACCCCAACGAAATTTCAACAATAACCCTTGTGCCACAGGTAGAATAGTTCTAGCCATAACAGCAACAGAAGGTGAAAGACCACATTTTTCACTGTTCTTACCATCTGGAACAACACCAACACCAACAACAACGTTGTTGCTGTTATTGTTGTTGTCGTCTCTATGACCAAATGGTTCCAAGTTCAAGTTTTGCCAACCGGAGGAACATCCATCTTGAACAGGAACAAAACCCTTTTCGATTTGAGGCGAAACAGAAAGAGGGTTAGAATCAGAAATAGTTTTGGTGATGGTGTTAGGGTTATGGTTAGAATCAGAGAAAACGGTTTTGTGGAGAGAGAAATGACCGAATTGGGGTTTAAAGTGAAGAAAGAAAGAAGGAAGAAGAAGAGGGATAGAAGAGGAAGGAGTAGAGAGTGATAGATTGGCAGAGAAGACGAGAGGAGAATCACGAGGTGAACCGGAAAGGCCTAAACCGGATTTGAGGGAGAGAGAAAAGGGAAGAGATGAGGTTTTTGTGGCGGTGGGAGTGTAAGAGAGTTTGAAGGTTGGACCAGTTGGGAAATTAGTTGAGAGTGAGAATGAGAAATCGGAAGTGGAGTTACCTGTGGCGGTGATGGTTGAAAGTAAGGGATGGTTGAAAATGGTGATGGGTAGTTTTGCTGTCATTATTTGGGTTTGTTGATTTTCGTTGGTGTTGTGGAATTTGAGGGAGAGCTTCATGGTGAGTAGAAGTTGGAAGTTAGAAGATGAAAGAAAGGTGAAATGGAAGAACAACCATTAGAGGTAGCTACAAGGAGATGATGATTTTTTGTTTGTTTTTGGTGGAAGAGAAAGGATGGGATGGAGGAGAGGAAAGCAACTAATGGGCTCACGTTTAAAAGATGCATGGCCCATCATAATGTGGATTTAACCTGTGAATTTAATCGCCCACCTCCCCTTTCATACCTGCCACTCAACTAGAAGTTCAAAAATGCTTGTTTTGTGCAGTTCGGAATCGGCAGGGTCATCTACATATTCGTGTAGCGATTGCACGCATTTCTTCACCACAAATAAAATATGTTTTTTATGTAACAAGTTAAAATTTAATATTTTCGTTGTGTTATATGATATTAATACTATTTTTTTATGTAATGTAAACGACATATATTTGAGAGTTGAGCTGGAGTATTAGTCTGGGCACATCATATTGACAAGCAACATGGTATTATAGTTGTGATTGTTCGTTTTGATACTGCAAATGACCAGAGAGGTAGGAAGGATAAATTGATTATGAGTTGTGTAAGAGGAGGAAATTATAAAAGGAAAAATACATCTAAAAGTAGTAAATCTTCATATGGCATTTATAGTATGTATGTGAAATGTCCTTTTAGGCTGCGATCTTTCCCAAGTGGTATTGGTTGGAATGTGATGATTAGGTGTGGGTTTCACAATCATAAACTATCTGAGAATTTAGAGGGTCATGACATACTGGGTCGTCTAAAAGATCATGAGAGACAGTTTGAATGACACATTGAAGTACAACATGACTCAACGGTACATAGTTTCCGCCTTGAAAGACAAAGATCCAAAAAACCTCATCAGTGTTACCCAAGTGTATAAAGCTAGAGCTACGTACAATGCGAGCAAGAGAAGTTCATTGACGGAAATGCAAATGTTGTTGGCTCTTATTCATAAAGAAAAGTACATGTGCTGGACAAGAAATAAGGAAGACTCAAATGTTGTTGTTGATATCTTCTGGAAACATCCTAATTCAGTGAAGTTGTTGAATATATTTCACTTGGTATTAGTTTTTGATTGTACATACAAGATCAATAGGTAATGTGAGTCTTGATCATACCTTTATACCATTTTAACATACTTTGATTTATCAGATTTTTTATTATTTAAATCGTGAACATACAGGTACTAGTTACAACTGCTTGAGATTGTTGGCGTAACGTCAAAAAGTGAACATTTTCCGTAGGGTTTTCCTATTTGGAACATGAAAGGGAGGAGAACTTCACATAGGCACTTGAGAAGCTCAAATAGTTGTTTTCTTCTGAGAAAATGCTACTCAATGTTATTGTGACAGACCGAGAACTTGTGTTGATGAATTTAATTCAAGTTGTGTTTTCAAATTCAACACATTTGTTATGTTTGTTCCACATTACCAAAAATGTTAGCATGAAGTGTAAGGAGTATGTTAAATCAAACAGACATGAACATGTCATGGATCTATGAAACAACATCATGTATGCTAATAGAGAAACTGAGTATCTCGCACACTTAAAGCACTTTGAGACTGTTTGTGCTGATATACCTTTGTTTGTTAAGTATGTGAATGAAACATGGTTGACACCTTATAAAGAAAGGTCTGTGGCTGCTTGGACTAACAAAGTCAATCATTTAGGGAACATAACAACGAACAGGTACATCAATTCTTTTCGATGTTATTACTAAGCATAATTTATCTTGTCGTCTCATTATAGTTTAATTATTGTGATTTAGGATGGAGTCTGCTCATTGGAGACTGAAAAAACATGTTGACTACAAGTCGGGGAGATTTATGCTAAAGTTGGGATGCTGTGTCATTTCAAAAAAAGTATTGTCAACATTGAGCATCAGTATAACACTTCCTTCTATGTCAACTTGCACAATTTTGTTTCAAGGCAATGTATACAACACATAGGGAAAGAGCTAAAAAGGGTAAAATTTGTTGGTACAAACAAGGATATTTGTGGTTGCTTCATTAGATCTGCACATGAGTTACCTTGTACGTGTCAACTTGCTGGTTTCCAAATACAAGGCTTGCTTGCTCCTTTAGAATCAATTCATGTTTTTTTGGAAGAAATTACACATTAAAGAGCATGATAACAGCCATGGCAATAGTGGCACAAAGCTTAATTTAGAAGCCAAATGTGAACAGTTGGAGACATATTTCAATTCTTTAGATATTATAGGCCAGAGGGTATTGTAGAAAAAGGTTTGGGAACTAACACATCCAGCCACAACTTCTATGTGTCCACCGCCGATGAAGTACAAACCAAAAAGGGAAGATAAGAAAAGCAGAAAGGGTGAAGAGAGTGATATGCATCATGTTTCCTCGCAATAGGAGTATGGTGAGGGTTCGCAGGGGAGTCAGACTACAAAAATATCATACACAAACCCAACAGGAAGTCAACCTTCTAGTATGTCGGGTTAAAGTCAATTGTCAAGTATGTCGAGTCAAAGTCAAATGTCTAATGTATCTTTTAGGCATCTTTACTTGTCTCAGTTTCCTGGTTTCTTGCATCCATACATTGATGATATTGTTGATGTGGGTGACGATGGAAATTGTGGGTATTGGGCTATCACAACTTTACTTGGATGGGGTGAAGAGTCATAGTCATTGGTCCAAACGTAGTTGGATACTTAAGTTCATCAACATCCAAAAAAAAAATTCCAAATTGTTCTATGACACAGTTATTGAAGTTAGGAATTCCTTAATAGTAGAACACTTAGGGTTGCATGGTAGAGATAAATGGAAGTTGATTCCTGATATGGGTTACCCTATTGCAAGTAAGTATAATGTCATTTTTGTCTCCCTGTCACAAAGACTTAACATTACATTTTTCCCTTTTACCATAGCTCCGCCTATGTATACGAGTAGGGACAAAATTATTATTGTTGGTTTTGTCAAACGACAATCATTGGATTCAAGTAAAATTAAAACTTGATAGTCCATTGTCTCTCGTCACTGATTGTTGGAGACATAATTATATTGGAGGAGCAAAAGCATGGGAATCAGCATATGCATAACGAATTAGGCACTGAGAGGAAGAACTTAGGAATTCATCTTAATTTTCAATGTAATCTTGTGGACATTATGTATTTATTATATGAGAAACCATTTATGCAGGGCGATGTGGCAAAAATATTGATTTTTTTTTAAAGTTCTTGACACATACCAGAAATTTAGAATTTCTGGTATACCGGAAATATTATATTTTGGAAGATTTGTCCATTTTACACAAATATTTTATTTCTGGTATAACTTCGCCGGAAATTTCAAAATTTTCGGTAGTTCCTCGTCAGACCCTCTTTTAGAACATTTTGTTATTGCACCCTATAGACTTCTTTCATACCATGTGATTTTCCACAACAATTGTTACCGTGGTTATATGTAATTTTAAGAAATGAAAGGCACTCGATGAACTTATATTATCTCGGTTGGTTATATACTCGTGGTAAAAAATGGTTAGATAATGTGCTTTTTGTAGTAGTGGCGTAACTTCAATCGCGAGTAGTTACCACATTCAATATTTCATCCAGTGCCAGATGATTATATAAATTATCATACATAACATCTACATATTTGCGGACCATGGCGAGAGGATCAAAGTCACAAAGGATTCTTTTAAAAACAACCTATAGATACCCGAATTGGCACATGACTCACTTTGGTAGATAAAGATACATAAGACTAAGACGTGACCCACAAGTCACCCATCTATAGTAGAAGGTTATATCATTCAAGGGACGTGTCTGACATTGATCATCCTATGACCAAAAGCGTATATCATTTGCTATTGTGCGGTTAAAAAAATACTCTGAAGGGCTCGGTTGACCGATTGTCTCTAAGCGGAACGAATTCACAAGCACGTAGTTGATCCTCGGTGTAGTCATCAAAAAATGATCAGTCGAAGATGCGTGAAAAGTGATGGAGGATCTATGCCTAAAAATGGTACAAATGAATTATTAGTAATTGTGTAGCACAAGTGTTATGAAAATGGTATAATAGCAATAAAGGATGCACATATATTACCGTAAACAACATGTAACCAACAACCATCTGTTTTGCATTCTAAAAATAATCTTCAACTAACTTGGAGTACAGGTAAAACAAACAAGTGCCCCCCAATTGCATTCATGAACTCACTCCAAGTCAATGAAGAATCTGAGATAAACTACGTTGACGTAATATACACTCTTGTCCTTAAATATGCACGTGCCAACCAAGTATATGAGGTATGAACTCAATGCATGTACTCTATGATGCATAAGTTAAGCATCATTACCATCGACCTCCACTGCCACAACCAAGTGGTGTACATATAACTTCTATATGAATTCAAATCTAGCATGACACCCTATAATGTCTTCTATCTCCTTTAGGTCATCCTTTGAGTCAACTCCCAAATAGTCCACCATCATCTCCAATGCATCAGGTCTAGTCATCCTAGAGTGGTATAATAATCTTCATTTGATTGAAAGATGTATTAAGTATGACACATCATCAATGTGATGGACATCTCACCATGCGGAAGATGAAAAGATAACGTATTACAGTGTCATCTCTCAATGAATGTTGACAACATACCATGGTTAATAATAATATAATTAGTCATGCATAAATCTCGGAGGTTACATAGCTGCATAACATCATGAAACTACTGCTCCTCATGGTGATGTAGCCTCACAATCTTCATACCATGATTTATCTATTTAAAGCATCACGATACTGTGCAAATTACATCATCTTCAGATAGTATAAATATTATAACACGTGTGTTTCAAAGAATAAATACATATAAATGTTACCTTTAATCTGCATATAAAGGCAACAATGATGTGTCATATGGCCTCCTTCAAACTCCTTAGGAACGACATTATTGACAATAGACACATCAACTTAAACTGGTGGGGCTTCTGGGACAGCAGGAGGTGACACCTGCCTTCGAGAAGACGAAGTCGGAGACATT